GCGGTAGTGGTTTTTATCAAATCTTTCACATTATCTTTGACAACTTCAGCAACAGATTCCGGAAATGTCTGTAAATCGCTGTTCAAGCTGTTTGATTGATAGGTCGAAACTGATACGTTCGTTGGTAAGGGCTAATCTGCGCGTTTGAACCGTAAACTAAGGCTGTTATTAATAACAAAGACAAACTCAAAAACGTTCGCAGTTGCCTGTAAATGCCTAAATGGTAGTGTTTACTTTACAGAATACAGTGTAATCTGATTTACGTTCTCCCATACACTTGTAATCTAAATCTACTCGATAGCAATTTCCTGCGAGATACAAAAATATTTCCTGCGAGTAATTTTTGTGAAAAATTTCCTGGCAGCGGTGCTGCCGGCGCTGCCGGACATTTTCCAGCCCTGGACAATTGCCGTTATTGAGAAGTGGGATACCAGATTTTCTGGGGACACTCGAACTTGGAGATCAGATCATGAATGTAGTGAGGTCAGCTTAAATCCAGAATAAAAATTACCAGACAGGCAACATTTACAAAAAGCTTTTAAGGGAGATGCAGTACAGTATGTTAAATGTTTTGGGAAAATTTGCACATGAGAATTTTTCACCTTTCACTTTGTAAATAATCGTATGATAAACAGTTATTAGCTTTAGCATAATTATGCAGGTCCTCAAGACTCGTCCAGGCTTCAGTGAATGTAACATTGATGCCTACCTATATATTGCGATTTGTCTGCTTCATCGATAGATCCCAATGTACTGTACATGATTGGGTTTAAGTTTGCAAATGAAGAATTAATATGTACAATATTAGACCTATTTTGGAGCAGCTGCGAAAAATGCAACTTTAGATGCCAAAAACTCGTGATATTAACCTATAAACCTAACACTGTCATCGCCTTACTACATACTGTATACAAGAACTTGTGCTTAATGTTTGGCAACTGGATTTTGTACATACATGCATAAATACATACATGCAAATTCCATCTACAACAAACTCGTCTACAGCACATAATTTTTTATACCATGATCAACCTCATCCAACACCTTTTTAGTATTGCTGTAGTTGCTGTGAATGAAACGACATCCTGGCTTCACAGCTGTGTTTATTGCTTCTTGTCCATATATCATTGTAAGATTTTAGCTGTATACCACTAGTTACATGTACAACTCATCCTTGTACCACTATATATAAGGCATTATCCTAATATCTTATTCACAACATTTCTTGGGTAGTTGTATCACTTGTATGAAATTCACATGCAGATGTTGTCTCACGCTCGTTGAAATACTGTATAATATAAATGTTGAAGGGATTAGTAGATAGAAATTTCGAGTGTAATATTAATTTTTTACATTTAGTCCTGAAAGAATCAAACCTGCGGCCCCGCGATTCCTTCAACAATTAGTTCTATCGAGTGATTTCATTTGTCTGGAAAAAATTTAATTAATAGGTTGGACATTTTCTCCATTCATTCGCCTAAAATAAAAATAAAAGGAAGTCGAAGTGTTATTTGTAACACTATAATCCCACATTCTTTGCGGTATGCTCAGGTCCTAGAAGGCGTCTTTTCTTTGTAATATGCTGATTTGTCAGGCTCTTCTGAATTAATGCCACCATATCTGGAGTTATAATATGAGTCGTAACAAATGATTCGCGCTGAATACAGTTCGCTCCATGTCAGGATTTCAACCCTTCTCTCAACCTCGTTCCCAGGCTCTTTGCTCTTGTGAAGCAAAGACCCTGGTCGGGGCTGGTCACGTGACCCATAGAAAATTGATAACCTAAGAGGGGGATGGAAAAGTATCAAATTACATGTTTCCACTTCGCACCTCACACTTCGATTGCAAGGAGCGACCGTTCTATACAATCCTCTTTGAGAATCATATATACTTCAAAATACTTGCTAAATTGGTTTCTGTTTGCTTTTAAATTATTCAAACATGCTAAACTGTAGATTCTTATAGCAACAAACAAGTCAGAAAATCAAGCAACGAAAACGTATGATCGTATATGCTTGGAAATATTTGCCCTTTTATTGTCTCGCGGGGTTAGGGCGCAGTTTCATTTCACGCGTACGTTTCTGTATCTGGCTCTGGTTCAGATACGTATAATATTCTTATAATGTGCCATTGAATTGTTGTCATATGGAAACGGTATAAATTTTGTTAAATAGAGGTCTCAAAAGCGACTGTGTAGGTAGTAGGCGCTACGCCTTGCTGGTCCTACAGCAAACGTTACATATTTGGACACTAGCCAAATAGACATTGAATGTCCATTCTATTGATTCTAAAACGGTTTATAGACATAGTGCTCTAGATTTTTTTAAAAAGGTTATCGTTTATATTCAACACAAGGTAGGAAGGAGGGTTAACGTACATGTACAAAATTGTTTGGGATCAACAGTAAAGAATTATGCGACAATTCACAACTGTATGCATTTCCTTTTTTGTCTGCACGAGTACCTGTTTGTTGAAGCCAAAATCACTAAATCAGATTGCACAGAATCTCCGATATGAATTATATAGCCATTCACCCTCGCCCCTTAAATGCAAAGGAATGATAGCCGAAAAGGTTTAGCAAAGTATTTTTTATTATATCTGATATAAAGTGTCCCTACGTTTTATCATCAGGGATATATATACATAATTCATAAACTGTATATAAGCGCACGAAGTCCAGCTCATAGAATTACTTAATTAATGAGTTTTAATAAGCCTTTTAAAGTTTCCATTGATAGATAGGTTGTTCGCCTCTAGTATGGTTTGGTGAAACTGCTAAAATGTCATTTATAGAGTTTACGATAAAGATTATTTAAAGTTGATTTAAATATTGATGACTCACAGCAGCATAATACAAGTCCAAAGAAGCTGTCGGGTTATTCTTCAAATATAAAGCACTGAATGGGCAATGGGAATGAAAGGTCTTTATAAAGTTTATAAATTAATGTACCTGCTGTGAATTACTGTAATACACAAAATATGAAATAATTTACTATGAAGTACAATACCGGTGTCTGGTGCAATCTGGTGCATATATCGTCCTAAATATTCGAGTGTCCCTATATGTCGTGTGTCGCGTGTCGTGGGTTAAAAGTCGTGTGTCGTGGGTAAAGTCGTGGGTAAAGTCGTGGGTCATAAAATGTGCTAAAAACGCATTTTTTCACGAAGATATTATTTTTCTTTTTAATATTTTTTCGTACTTTTTCCATTTATGCATTAGATAAATACAGGAAAATTTAACGGAACAAATCTCCAGTAATAAAATAATTTCTTATCTTGCTGTTATCTATAGTATAACAAGTAAATGTTTGATTTTGTTTCCGTTTCGTATGGTGAATAAGCCTATAGAATATAAGTTGATGATAAAATGTCTTAATTAGTTATAGGATATAGGTTTATCAGTTAGCTTTGGAAGTGTTATAGTCCCTATCATGAACGTCGCGAATAACTATGTCGATTGCATATGTCTGATACAAACATATTGTCTATTGAGCTATAAATTTTACGCTGCAGTGCCTGTATAATTAGTGGCCAACGCTCGAGCGTCAAATTTTGCTATTTTATCTCCCAGACCTAGCTAGTATATGTTCGTGGCCCTTAAAGGTCGACAAACATTTCATGTGTGATGTGTATGTGGCGTTCGGAAATATTCCATAAATTGCTACGATTTGGGATTTCCCGATTGAAAACCGAAATGATTTGTGCGATGTCGGGCTAATTGCCAACCGAGCGCGCTAACTGCTGTTATTTCGACAGAATATGATACCTCTACACTTTTCAACCGTAATTTTCAGCGCGCATTGTAATCGTATCATACACATATCGTTTAATTTAGCTTCAAAAACTTGATAAAAAAACATGTTATTCGTGTTGGTTCCCGCGGAGTGCAATGGTGTCATAGTTGCCAGAGGCAGAGCACATGCAAAGCCGCCTCGGTATAAATCATGTATGTAACGGGAAATCTTGCTGATTTCAGTCTAATAAAGTCAACCTTTTTTCTTTGATATTAATCTACGCAACATGCTGCGCATTTTACATTTAACAAAATAAGTTTTTGAAGCTAAATTAAACGATATGTATATGATTACAATCCGCGCATTATTGATTACGGCTGAAAAGTGTAGAGGTATCATATTCTGTCAAAATAACAGCGGCTAGCGCGCACGGTTGGCAAATAGCCCGACATGGCGACATCGCACAAATCATTTCGCTTTCAATCGCGAAATCCCAAATCGTAGCAATTTATGGAATATTTCCGAACGCCACATACACATGAAATGTTTGTCTACTTTTAAAGGTATACTAGGTCTAGGAGATAAAATAGCAAAATTTGAGGCTCGAGCGTTGGCCACGTAGAGTTTAGGCTATAGCTCAATATGTTTGCATCAGACATATGCAATCGACATAGTTATTCGCGATGTTCATGATAGGGACTATTACACTTCCAAAGCTGATAAACCTATATCCTAATATCCTATAAGCCTATAACTTAGGGCATTTTATCATCAAACAATACATTTATAGACTTATTAGACTATACGAAACGGAAACATTTATACTTGTTATACTATAGATAACAGCAAGATAAGAAATTGTTTTATTACTGAAGATTTGTTGCGTTAAATTTTCCTGTATTTATCTAGCGCATAAAATGAAAAAGTACGAAAAACATATTAAAAATAAAAA